GTAATCACAGAGTTGGAAGAGACCTCGTAGGCCATCCAGTCCAACCCCCTGCCAAGAAGCAGGAAAATTATTATTAATTATTATTAAACTTTATTTGTACCCCGCTAGCATCTCCCGAAGGACTCAATGCGGCTTACAAAGGCCAAGGCCTCAACACAACAACAGACAATAACAATACAATGCAAAGCAAATTAAAAACATAAGCAATAACAAAAACAGAACATTACACTATTACGCAATAAAACCAGGGCCGGGCCAATGAAGGGTACAGGTTAAAAAAGTGCTGGGTGTGAGAGGTGATATGTTGTGATTCTGGGCAAGTGCAATGTGCAGAAATAAAGTGCTTCTGGGACATAGTGCTGGGGATTATCCTATTCTGGAAAGGCACATCGGAATAGCCAGGTCTTCAAGTTCTTCCTAAAGACTGCCAACGTGGGTGCTAGTCTAATGTCTTTGGGGAGGGTGTTCCAAAGTCGGGGGGCAACCACAGAGAAGGCCCTGTCCCTCGTCCCCACCAAACGAGCCTGCGACGCAGGTGGGATCGTGAGCAGGGCCTCTCCAGATGAACAGAGGGAGCGGTCACGCAGGTAGGCAGGTCCCAAACCGTTTAGGGCTTTGTAGGTAAGCACCTGCACCTTGAATTGGGCTCGGAAGGTAAACGGCAGCCAATGGAGCTCCTTAAACAGGAGGGTTGACCTCTCTCTGTAAGGAGCCCAGTTAACATCCTGGCCGCCGCCCGTTGGACCAGTTGGAATTTCCGAGCCGTTTTCAAGGGCAGCCCCACGTAGAGCGCATTACAGTAATCCAATCTAGAGGTGACCAAGGCATGGACCACCCCGGCCAAATCAGCCTTTGCGAGGTACGGTCGCAGCTGGCGCACAAGTCTTAGTTGTGCAAAAGCCCTCCCGGACACCGCCGACGCCTGAGCCTCAAGAGTAAGTGATGAATCCAAGAGGACTCCCAAACTGTGGACCTGTGACTTCAGGGGGAGTGTAACCCCATCCAACACAGGTTGCCATCCTATACCCCGATCCGGTTTACGATTGACCAGGAGGACCTCTGTCTTGTCGGGATTGATCTTCAGCTTGTTCTCCCTCATCCAGATAGCCACAGCGGCCAGGCACTCGTCCAGCACTCAAGGGGCCTCTGGAATTAGGTGGAAATGAGTAGTAGAGTTGTGTGTCATCTGCGTAGAGATGGCACCCAACTCCAAAACTCCGGATGACCTCTCCCAGCAGTTTCATGTAGATGTTAAAAAGCATGGGAGACAAAATAGAGCCTTGCGGGACCCCACAGGTCAAAGGCCAGGGGTCCGAGCAGGCATCTCCCAGCTTCACCATCTGGGATCGACCCTCCAGGAAGGACCGGAGCCACGACAAAACCGTGCCCCCGAGACCCATCCCAGAGAGTCGACCCAGAAGGATACCATGATCGATGGTATCGAAAGCCGCTGAGATGTCCAACAGAACCAACAGAGTCACACTTCCCCTGTCCAGCTCTCTACGGAGGTCATCCACCAAGGCGACCAAGGCCGTCTCGGTGCCGTGGCCAGGCCTGAAACCAGACTGTGACTGCATTCAAACAAAGTCTTTTAAACTAGGAAAGTGCTTAGAATATTGTTTAAGAATTGCTGTGATTCGCAAATAAGAAAAGGGAAAGAGCAAGGGAAACCGTTAAGTTATTTGACTTGCAAATTACAAGACTGTCTGAGCAAAAAGGTTACTTGCTGGAAGCCTTTCGGATTCCTGCTCTTCAATTTGACTCTCTAGTCTAACCTTTTATAAACTCACACACATTATTCAATTAATAATACTATGGGTTTTTCACCCTCATGTGAAATACCTGAATATATAATACAGAAAAGGGGATCAAATGGTGGTGGAGTTGGGAACAGAACAGAAAAGAAAGATTCTTGCTTGAGCTGTGAAAACCACAAATGTTTTCTGTATTTGAGGAAGGGGAGAAAGAGAAAACTATATGGTCTAGCAACATGGCATCGACATCAGTTAAGAAATGGATGGGAATTTCTCAAGAGTGAGAGCCGTTCAGCAGTGGAACTCTCTGCCCCGGAGTGTGGTGGAGGCTCCTTCTTTGGAAGCTTTTAAACAGAGGCTAGATGGCCATCTGTCAGGGGTGATTTGAATGCAATATTCCTGCTTCTTGGCAGGGGGTTGGACTGGATGGCCCATGAAGTCTCTTCCAACTCTTTGATTCTGTGATTCTATGAAATTATCAAAGATGATATTTACTAGATTACCAATTATTTCTATGTTTTCCTTTCAATTCAGTGTGTTTTTATCAAAAAAAACCAGGCTTAGATTAATGAATTCATAAAAGCAAGAAGACCATATCACCCTATCCCACCTGCCAGGAAGTGTAGAAAGACCATTTATGTATTATTGTTGTTATTGTTGTTGATATTATTTATCAACCGAAAGGTTGCAAGTTCGAATCCAGGGAGTGGCATGAGCTTCCGCTGTCAGCCCCAGCTTCTGCCAACCTCCAGAGCGCCGTTACCATCCCGCCGTTACCTTCCGCTGAGAAGGTAATGGCACTCCATGCAGTCATGCCGGCTGTTGGGGTTCAGCATCCGTGTGAACCTGAACCACAATCTCTGTGTGAACCTGATTCTCTGCTTGTATTTCCTGATGCAACTGAGCAAGCCACTGGACATGTATCTTTCCCTGTGTTGAAACTGTTGATGCTGAGGTCAGTGGCGGGGAAAGTGAAACTAAACAGCCTGATGAGAATGTTTTAGAATCAAGCCGTGATAGCTCTCCAGAGGGAATCACACCTGGGTTTTTTAATGAGGACCGAAGGGAACAGATTTGGAAAAACAGGAGTGAATCACAGTTTCTACGAAGGTCAAATAGATTACGGGAGAGGGAGGCTCAGACTTCAAAGTCTGGAGGCGTTTCAAGAAATAGTTTCTTTAGTTTAAGGGGCCTCCCCCCGGTTGTCTCGTTAGATCAAGCAACGTTTTAGACTGAGGCAGCACCTTGGCAGTTTTCCTGTGTTCCATGGCCTGCATTCCCAGAGGCTTCTAGTTTTCAAGTACGGTTAGTGACATGCTAACAGGTTCCTGGTTTTTGTATTGTTGTTTTTGGAATTTTGCTCAAGTTCAAAGATTTTCCTGACTGCTGAGTTTCTACTGTGGCTTTTTGACTTTGCATTTACTTTTCTTTTGTAACCATTTTTCATCAATAAAAAAGGATTGTTTTTCTCACAGTCCAGTGTGGTGGATTTAATCTTATGGTCTCGTTTCCTGATCTGGGATGCAACACCGCCAAGCTTCAGTACTATGGACAACGCTAGATCTTCGACTTAGAAATGGAGATGAGCACCACACCCCTGAGTTGGACATGACATTAGGTCCAAGTGTCTGGGATTCGTCTTTGAATATTGGGCTCTTCCCATGACCAACAGAAAATACTGGAAGGGTTTGGTAGCCATTGACCTTGACATTTGAGAGTTGTAATAATAATAATAATAATAATAATAATAATAATAATAATAATCTTTATTTGTACCCCGCCACCATCTCCCCAATGGGGACTCGGAGCGGCTTACATGAGGCCAAGCCCAAACAACAATTACAGTAAAGAACAACCGAATGCAAACCGAAAATGCAAACAATAAACAACAACATCATAATTACATGAAACATATGAATATACAACAATATAAAATTACAGTAAACACAAACTCAGTGACAATGGGTGGGCTACATGTAATGGTTAAAAGAAGAACTAATTAAAACTGGTTAAAAACTCAGGTGAGATAAAAGAGAAACAAATTACTTGTGGAGGAGGGCTCATTATTGTGGGGGTTGTGGAATCAAGCTTTCCCACGAGGGGGGGAAACGTATACTCCAATGAAAGAACATTGCAAATGAGTGATAATGTGGGATTGAATACCTATTCACCAAAGGCACAATGGAAGAGCCAGGTTTTGAGGTTCTTTTTTAAAGTTTCTAGGGTAGGGGCTAGTTGCTGGGATGTATAGTTCATCTACAATCAGAGAGCATTCTGAACCCCACCAACTATAGAATTGAACCAAGCTTCCCACACAGACAGGGGCGGCTCAACCCATTACACCAAGTAAGCATTTGCAGTATAGTTGATTTTGCCCAGGGGTGCTCTTGAGGCGCTTTTGGGGGAAAATAGACCTTGACATATGAGTTGTAGTTACTGGGATGTATAGTTCACCTACAATCAAAGAGCATTCTGAACTCCACCAATGATGGAATTGAACCAAATATGGCACACAGAACTCCCATGACGAACAGAAAATATATATCAGTGATTGGTTGGGGGAAAGGGGCACCAAAATACTGTTTGCTTACCATTGAAAATTACCTAGGGCTGCCTCTGCACACAGAACCCTCATGACCATCAGAAAATACTGTTTTCTGATAGTCTTTGGAGACCCCTGTGACATCCTCTCATGACCCCCTCAGGGGTCCTGACCCCCAGGTTGAGAAACACTGCCTTACATGGAAGGCCAAGACCTTCCCCTCTCCAAAGAAACATTCATGGTATCAGTCTGGAATCTGGATTAGATAGAATGTCACATATTTCCTCATTTCTTTCTTTTCCCTTTATCATTTTCTCACAGTCTGAGATGCACTTAAAAGTCAAGATGTTAGAAAATGCTGGGTTAGTTGTTTCTGCCACCATGAAAGTGCCACAAGTGAGATTTAATGAAGAAAAATTCTAAGTACTAAGCACTGAATGCATTAAATACTTTCTCAACTAGTGTTTGTAATCCAAATGCATTACCCACAGGTTTGTTTTGCATGCACTTATCAGGATGAATGTTGGTGACAACACACTGCAGGAAAAGACTCTGAGCATCTCTTGCATTTTCTGCATATTTCCAAGCTCTGAGCCCAAGATAACTAGGAACACACATAGCGACTGGAAGTGAACAAAAATATCACTCCATAGCATCAAAAGAGCAGTTTGCTTCTGTTCATTGGAATACATCCCAATACAAACCTCTGTTGTCTCGAAGAGTAAAATTAGGCTTGTAGATCATTTCTGGTGGTAAACTGAAGATTAATCTTGGGCCATTGGCAGTACTGTCCTTGTCCTTCGCACTAATTGTAAATAATGGCTGTAAAAGAAAAGCAATTGTAAGCATGCAGTGAATTTTAAAAGTGTATCTTTTCTGGAGTTTTTTGTAGCATGAATAAAAGTTGTACACAAACCTATAGGTGGGAGATGGGCAAAATATGGCCCTGGTGTTGTATTTAGCTTTCTAACAGTCCTGCTTTGACCCCCAAACACCTCTTTTCCAACTCTATCAGGCTTCTGAGAGCAACTGTTTACCTTTTAAATAGGTTTCCGCTTCCCCAAACACTTCTCAATATTTAAAAATAATTTCTGGCATTTGGCATTGCAAGATAGATTTCGTTTGTGTCCTGGCACGGCTGTGCCAGGAGATTTGATTTTCTTTTCTTGCACTCTTAGTTTGCATGAATCTGTTCAAGCTTGCATTTTGCAATTGGGTAGCTTTCCTCAGGTTGCAATCATAGGGCCAACAACCTATCAATCATCATTAGAGCCTTTAGATCCGCCCCTTTCCCCAGGTTTAGAGGGAAAGGGGGACTTTTAGTTCAGTCTCACAGTTTGGAGCTCTACAGTAGGACGTGTGGGCTTTTCTCTACCCCACCTGTAAAAAGCTTCGCTTCTTACAGCTCTGCCAGGGTTAAAGAAATAGATCTTACAGCTCTGCCAGAGTCAAAGATATAGATCTACAGCCAGCTTTTGCTGGGAGAAAGGAAAACCTCTACAGCTTTGCTGGGTAGTAAAGTTTCAGTTCCACAGCTTTGCTAGAGGAATACAGCCAGCCTTTGCTGGGCAAAAGAAACAGTTCCACAGTCTTCGTGGAGAAACTAAAAGGACACCAGCTTGGCAGATCTGCAGCAACCATTGCCTGGTAAGGGACCACTCGGGCTATCCATAACGCAGCTTGGAGCCGGGAGTTGGGGTCTCACGGCAGCAGGGTTAAGAAAAATTGCCCAAGGAGGGGTCGGAAGGTTTCCCTAAAGAAGATAGGAACAGCTTATCAAGCAGTTGCCTGTCCCTTGTCAGCAGATCGAGAAAGCTACCAGTTTTTCAAGATTATATGGCATTTTATGCATTTGTTCGAAGATTTAAGCCTTAATAAAGAACTTTGTTGGACTTATTTTGAGCCTCTACAGAACTTTGTTTTGGGAAACCTATGGAGCCTTTTAGCTGAGGCACCCCAGCGTCCTGTTGGGCATATAGAAAGCACGTCCCAGAGCGCAAAAGCACAGTTTGAGTTCTGCAGATTCACATGGAAATGACCAAACATGACACCACTGCTCCCCGCAAACCTACTCTTTCCAAAGCGTGTTTAACCTTCTCCAGACTGGGAATGATGTCAACAACTTACTGGACTATAATTCCCAATGGGCCCAGGCAGAACAGGAGTTGTAGTCTAACAGCAAACGTTAGGTCACATTTTACCCATTTCTGCCTTATATATTCTTTGTTTCTTGAAACGCCCAACCACATACTTGTTGCAAATCCAAGTGCAAGACAAGAGGGCAAGAGGCTTCTCCAGATCAGCAGTTGGTTCAAACTAGGGATATGAAAATCCTTTAAATTCTACAATTATAATAATTAATTTTACAAAGGCTGGATGGCCGTCTGTTTGGGGTGCACTGATTGTGTTTTTCCTGTATCGTTGAAGGGGGTGGACTATATTGCCTCTGGGGTTGCTCCTGCTATTATTATTATTATTATTATTATTATTATTATTATTATTATTAGAAACACAACAAGATGAGTCCACAGCAGACACTCTGCTGGCTGTTGAATTGGATCACACGTCAGACCCTTCCCAAGTGTCTAGGACTATGTGATGTATCGGCGAATAATGCGTGCAGATCCCAGTAAGGTGGCCTTCTGCAACTGGCAGATAATTTTGTCAGTGCCGATTGTGTTTAAGTGCAGGCCAAGGCCTTTAGGCACTGCACCCAGTGTGCCAATCACCACTGGGAACACCTTTACTGGCTTGTGCCAGAGTCTTTGCAGTGCGATCTTTAAATCCTCATATCATGTCAGCTTTTCCAGTTGTTTCTCTGCAATCCTGCTGTCACCTGGGATTGCAACATCAACAATCCATACTTTGGTTTTTAACATGATTGTGAGGTCAGGAGTATTATGCTCCAAAACTCTGTCTGTCTGAGTCCAGAAGTCCCAGAGAACTTTGGCGTGTTCATTCTCTGTAACTTTTCCCCGCTTGTGATCCCATCAGTTCATTATTATTATTATTATTATTATTATTATTATTATTATTATTATTATTATTATTGATATAATTACTACTACTACTACTTCAAAGGCTAGATGGCCATCTGGAGTGCTTTGATTGTGCTTTTACTGCCTAGTGGAAGGGGATTGGACTGCATTCCCCCCAGGATTGCTACTAATGCTACTACTACTACTACTACTACTACTTTTTTCATGTCAGGAGCAACTTGAGAAACTGCAAGTCACTTCTGGTGTGAGATAATTGGCCATCTGCAAGGACGTTGCCCAGGGGATGCCCAGATGTTTTGATATTTTTACCACCCTTATTGGAGGTTTCTCTCATGTCCCTGCATGGGGAGCTGGAGCTGACAGAGGGAGCTCAACACCTTCCCCAGATTTGAACCACTAACCTTTCGGTCAGCAGTCCTGTTGGCACAAGGGTGTAACCCATTGCACTACTGGAGGCTCACTACTGCTGCTACTACTACTACGTTTGGCCTACCCATAGATTTTATAGATTGTTGTCCTATTGTTAATGCTTATGTTATTGTTTTATTGTCTTGTTTGATTTTAATTGCTTGTATTGTTGTTGTTATTGCTTGTATTGTTGTATTCTGGGCTCGGTCTCATGTAAGCCGCACCGAGTCCCCTGGGGAGATGGTAGTAGGGTATAAATAAAGATTATTATTATTATTATTATTATTATTATTATTATTATTATTACCACTACTATTATTATTATAAAGGCAGGAGCCCCCGGTGGTGCAATGGTTAAACTCTTTTGCCAGCAGGGCAGGTTAGAGGTTCGAATCCAGGAGAGTGTGGATGAGCTCCCTCTGTCAGTTCCAGCTCCCCATGTGGGGACATGAGAGAAGCCTCCCACAAGAATGGTAAAACATCAAAACATCTGGGCATCCCCTGGGCAACGTCCTTGCTGACGGCTAATTCTCTCACACCAGAAGTGACTTGCAGTTTCTCAAGTTGTTCCTGACATGAAATTTTTTTACAAAGGCTGGTCTGGATGTGTTTGAGGTGCTTTTGATTGGCGGAAGGGGTGGACTGGATGGCCCCTTGGGATCTCTTCCAACTCTGGAACACTATGATTGTGCTTTTCCTCCATACAGAAGGGTGCTGAGTGCTCCCACTCCCTGGCATGTGTGCCATAGGTTCACCACCACTGCCATAGGGAGACTTTCTAGTCTTGGGGGGGAAAAGTTTGGCAATGGCATCACTTCTGTGCTTTAGCAATAGAGACACTTTGAAAATAAAGAGACTCTTCACTGAATTAAGAGCCACTTTATTTTCATTGGTACGCCAGGAAACTAGGCAGCATGAAAATGCAATATTTGTTGAAAGTATTGAGTACACCAAAACATATTGGCATCTCTCCTTCTGAGCATACAGCTTCTGAATGTGAAAGCAGAATACAGCTATCAATGCCTTGTAACTGTGGACAAATTTACCTCCTAGGAATCGATCTTGTCCCATTTTTGAGCCATCCTTAAACATGATGCATTGCCACTGTAAGGCAGGAAAAAAAACGTGGCGCAAAGTGTACTTCAGGTTTATTATAAGAATAAGGAGCTATTGTATACTGTCAGGCCCAACCCACCACCTCCTCCTGAGAAAAATGTATAATATCTCAAAGGACTACCACCTCACCCGCCTCATAGGAAACCTGTTACAAAACAGGAGCTTTTTTGTTGAGTTCCAGGGCCAGAGAAGCAGATGGCGGAAACAGAAGAATGGCCTGCCTCAGGGGAGCGTGCTTGCTCCATCCATGTTCAACATTTACACAAATGACCAGCAACTGCCAGAAGGGACAGAGAGTTTTATCTATGCTGATGATCGTGCCATTACTGCTCAAGCAGGGAGCTTTGAGATGGTAGAACAGAAGCTCTCCGAAGCTCTAGGTGCCCTTACCGTCTATTACAGGGAAAACCTGCTGATCCCTAATCCATCTAAAACACAGACATGTGCTTTTCACCTTAAGAACAGACAAGCATCCCGAGCTCTGAGGATTACCTGGGAAGGAATCCCACAGGAGCATAGCAGCGCAGCCAAATACCTGGGAGTTACCCTGGACCGTGCCCTGACCTACAAGAAGCACTGTCTGAATATCAAGCAAAAAGTGGGCGCTAGAAACAATATCATACGAAAGCTGACTGGCACAACCTGGAGATCACAACTAGACACAGTGAAGACATCTGCCCTTGCGCTATGCTACTCTGCTGTTGAGTATGCATGCCCAGGGTGGAACACATCTCACCACGCTAAAACAGTGGATGCGTCTCTTAATGAGACATGCCGCATTTTCATGGGGTGTATGCACCCTACACCACTGGAGAAACTACACTGTCTAGCCAGTATTGCGCCACCTGATATCCCCTGGGAAGTAGCAACCAATAGTGAAAGGAACAAGGCAGTGACATCTCCAGTTCATCCTCTGTTTGGGTAACAGCCAGCACATCAACAACTTAAATCAATAAATAGTTTTCTAAGATCTACAGAGACACTCGCTGGAACACCTCAGCAAGCGAGAGTCCAAAAGTGGCAGGCTCAAACCCAGAACCTCAATCAATGGCTGATACCAAATGAGAGACTCCCCTCTAGGCACACAGAAAACTGGGCGACTTGGAAGGCGCTGAACAGACTGCTCTGGCACCACGAGATGCAGAGCCAATCTTAAGAAATGGGGCTACAAAGTGGAATCCACAACATGCGAGTGTGGAGAAGAGCAAACCACTGACCACCTGCTGCAATGCAACCTGAGCCCTGCCACATGCACAAGGGAGGACCTCCTTGTGGCAACACCAGAGGCACTCAAAGCGACCAGATACTGGTCAAAGGACACTTAATCAACTATCAAACTTGCAAACTTTGTGTTTTGTCTGTCTGTTTGTTTTGTTAAAAATGTAATACAACTGTCTGGTTGCTCCTGACATGATAAATAAATAAAATCCACAAAACCAAGTTTGCTGCAATTATCTTTCTGATTAATTTTCTTGTGGAAAAAAATTGCATGAAACATGTAGGAGATATGGAAATACTTTTTTAAAAACCACAATATATGACAAATTGCAGTTTCATTTGAAATCACACTTCAGTAAACTCTGCCGACCCCCACTGAAAAATATGTGACAAAGATTACCTCGTGTAGCTGTGGTTTTTCACAAATAACTGTCTCATTGGGAGTTGCAAATTCTGGAGCGTTGTCATTTACATCAAGGACCTTGATTGACACTGGAACCTTGGCTTCCTGGTGACGATTGTCTATAAAACGATCGAGAATTTAGGGAAATTCTATTTTAATGTTTATATGCTTTAGGTTTTAATTCGCTCATTGTTATGCAGTCTGGTAAACAAAAAGACAGATATAAATACTACTACTACTACTATTTTTTTTTTCATGCCAGGAGCGACATGAGAAACTGCAAGTTTCTTCTGGTGTGAGAGATTGGCCGTCTGCAAGGATGTTGCCTAGGTGGCACCCAGATATTTTACCATCCTTGTGGGAGGCTTCTCTCATATCCCCACATGGGAAGCTGGAGCAGACAGACGGGAACTCATCCCCCTCTCCAAATTCGAACTTCCGACCTTTCGGTCAGCAGTCCTACCAGCACAAGGGTTTAACCCATTGCACCACCCGGGGCTCCAACAAATGTTACTACTAATAAGGAACAACACAATGAAATAAATTAAATTATTTATTTACGGCAGTTATATGCCGCACTTCCCATCCTGAAGGGGATTCAGAGTGGCTTACAAGATATATATACATACTAGGCCTGGGTAACAACGGAAAAATTTGTTTCTAAAATCGATTTGTATTTGGGGGGTTTTTTTGTTTCGATATTTAAAATAATTACAAAATTTTCCTTTTAAAAAGTTCAATATTTACGAAATTTCGTAAATGGTAAAAAATTAACGAATCGATTTCCGAAACAATAACGAATCGATTCATTAATGGCGGACGCGACCGCGAAATACGCTAAAAAACCTCCAAAACCTTCTGAAGCTTCCCTCTCCCTCTGTTGTTGACTGTTGGTGTGATATTATAATTTTTTTTCACTAATTAAACCATAAAACTGGCCCAGACATGCGGAAATAATAACGAAACGACCTCAAAACAATAACGAAACGAATACAATATCGAAATACGAAACATTTACAAAACGTTTTTGAAAATTCATTTTTTTTTAATAATTACTCCAGAATGGTTCGTTATTGTTTTGTAATTGAAAAAATTAACGAATTATTAACGAATTACGAATTAACGAAACGAAACCGCCCAGCCCTAATACATACAATATAGTATATTATTAGCATAGTACAATATCAGTATAGTACTATATTACATATTGTACTATATTGTACTATACAATTTTTGTACTAATTTTGTCAAGGTAAGATATCTATATACTTCTTGTTTCTGAACAGAGGTCCTGTCTTTTGCGCTACTTAAAGAGCAATAATTTTTAACAGAAATTCAATATCCCTTGCCCAAAATGCTTATTATTAATATTATTATTATCATCATCATCTTTATTTGTACCCCGCTAGCATCTCCCGAAGGACTCAATCCGGCTTACAAAGGCCAGGGCCAACAATAAAACAGCAATATAACAATTACATATAAACCAAAGGAAATCAAAAACATAAAGCAATAACCGTAAACAATAAAACAACACACCGTGATACAACAAAACTAGGCTGGGCAAATGTAATGGGTACAGATTAAAAAGTGCTGAGTATGCTGAGTGATATATAAGGATTTTTGGATAGGTGCAATGTGCGGACAATCTTAATTTCTAGTAAAATGCTTGAAACCAAAAGTGTTCTGGTTTTTATTTATTTGTTTACTTTCTTTTTTCATTTCTATACCACTTTTCTTTTCCCCAAGGGGGGCTCAAAGCGGCTCACAACAAAGTAAATGGCAAAATTCAGTGCCTCACAAAGTATAAAACACAACATATAATGAAAAAAGCATGTAATAATAGATTAAAATCAGTGAACTATAATACATCAAACATAAACAACATAACAAAACATTGGATATTTATTTATTTTATTATTTATTTAAAACATTTATGTTTTGCCATGTATAAATACGTGAGAGGAAGTCATAGGGAGGAGGGAACAAGCTTGTTTTCTGCTGCCCTGGAGATTAGGACATGGAACAATGGCTTCAAACTACAAAAAAGGAGATTAAATCTGAACATTAGAAAGAACTTCCTGACTGTGAGAGCCGTTCAGCAGTGGAACTCTCTGCCCCGGAGTGTGGTGGAGGCTTCTTCTTTGGAAGCGTTTAAACAGAGGCTGGATGGCCATCTGTCGGGGGTGCTTTGAATTTGATTTTCCTGCTTCTTGGCAGCCGGTTGTACTGGATGGCCCATGAGGTCTCTTCCAACTCTATGATTCTATGATTCTACGCCCTTCTCACCCCGAAGGGGACTCAGGGCAGAGCACAACATATAAATGGCAAACATTCAATTTTTTTTTGTCGTGTCAGGAGTGACTTGAGAAACTGAAAGTCGCTTCTGGTGTGAGAGAATTGGCCATCTGCAAGGACGTTGCCCAAGGGACGCCCGGATGATTTGATGTTTTTATCATCTTGTGGAAGGCTTCTCTCATGTCCCCGCATGAGCTGGAGTTGATAGAGGGAGCTCATCCGCCTCTCCCCGGATTCGAATCTGTGACTTGTTGGTCTTCAGGCCTGCCGGCACAGGGGTTTAACCCACTGCGCCACCGGGGGCTCCTTTCAACATTCAATGCCAGGACATAAATGGACTGTATACATACATAAAAATCAATTATCTCATTGTACCAGTCCTGAAGTTCTCTGTCAGAGTTTTTAAATTTTGAAATACATTAGAGTCTTGCTTATCCAACATAAACGGGCTGGCAGAATGATGGATAAGTAAAAATGCTGAATAATAAGGAGGGATTAAGGAAAAGCCTATCAAATATCAAATTACATTATGATTTTACAAATTAAGCACCAAAACATCACGTTTTACAATAAATTGACAAAAAAGGCAGTTCAGTACATGGTATCATTATGTAGTAATTACTGTATTTATGAATTTAGCACCACAACATCACAATGTGTATCTGAGTGGGAGGCAGACTGCGTGGGATAATACAGAACGTTGCATGAGCGAAGGTTGGATAAACTAGACTCTATTGGGTGATTGAAACAATGTTTTAGTAATTTTAAAGCATTAACAAATTGTTGTAATTGTTTTAATGTTTATTACTGTTGTTGGCATTGAATGAATGCCGGTTGTGAAGCTGTCCTGAGTCCCCCTCTGGGTGTGAGAAGGACGGGATACAAATATGTGAAACAAACAAACAAACAAATACTGTATCTGTTGCTGTGTATACAGACATAATGGAGGTGGGACCAAAGTCCAAACAAGACATTCATTTCTGTTTCATACATTCCAAACAGCAGTGGTTCCCAACCTGTGGTCCATGGACCGCCAGTGTTCCCCAAGAACGAAAATATGGTCTGCAGCCTCACCATTACTACACTGTTGCCTTAAAACCATGCAGCAACTAGAGCAGTGGTTCTCAACCTGGGGTCCCCAGATGTTTTTGGCTTTCAACTCCCAGAAATCCTAACAGCTGGTAAACTTGCTGGGATTTCTGGGAGTTGTAGGCCAAAAACATCTAGGGACCCCAGGTTGAGAACCACTGAACTAGAGTGACTGGTCTTGTGAAACCCTTTTATAGTGCCAAGGTAATAGGAATGTCAGGAGGGGAGAGGCTGACTACTCACAAAAGATTACTACTACCACATCAGTTCTAGATTATTAAATATGGTTTTCTGTGGGTGAGCAGATGGTGACTGGATGGCATATGTTCTGTATTGGAAACTAGAGCTGATATTAGGCCTAATATCCAGGCTTTACAAATATATTTTAGAATACAATTTAGTAGATAACCAAATAAAAACCGTTATGATCACGTGGGCCAAAGATGTAGGCAGAAATATTGATCTGGAAGAGTGGTAACATCTTTGGAATAAGGGTTTGAGATTCTCAGTGGCCAGCTCAATTAGAGAAAATATGTTTAAAATGTTTTACAGAACGTACATAACACCAGAGTTACTAGCCAAAATAGATAAAACAGGACAAGGGACTTGCTGGAGATGCAAGAAGGTGAAGGGATCTTTTTTTCCACATATGGTGGACCTGCAACATAGTTAAAGAATTCTGGAAAAAAGTGGTGAAAGAAACGACCAAAATGATTAGCAGAAAAATCAAGAAAAACCCAGAAATGTGCTTATTAGGAATATTTAGAAGTCATATTAGCGCAGGAGATGAAGAAAATTGTCAGTATTGTTTTGTCGTTGCAAGATTAACAATAGCTAAAACATGGAAGGGGAAAAAAGAGTTAATTATAAAGGATTGGAGAGATAAATTATAGACTATATCCAAATGGCCAAACTGACAAATAGCAGCAGAGGAGGAAATAATGAAGAATTTGTTATAAAATGGAGGTTGGCAATTGGATATCTTGAAAAGAAGAAAAAAGTAGATTTGAAGATCGCCATAAAGGGGATTCAGTGAAAGAAAATATGTGGGTAGTTGTGGGTTAGTTATGTGATCCACACGGAGTGGTGTCGGAGGTCATGGGGGTTGGGTTCATGGGTGTGGGGTTAGAGGGACAATAAATGTTAATATATTATAACTGTACAGTCAAAGTTGATTTTTCATATGTTTAACGAGCACTGACTGTATACTATTCTGTAAACTTGCATACTCTTTTGTATATCTTTTTTTCTTTTCTGTTTTTTTGTTTGTTTTCTATTTATTTCTGTTTTCCTCTAGTGTCGGTTTTGTTTTCTGTATGCACCATAAACCAATAAAAATTTTTTTTTTAAAAAAGGAAACTAGAGCTGACGTGGTCTATCCAATGCAGTTTTCTGAATCAGCACCCCAAATAACAAAACCAAATCTAAAGTTGACCCAAAACTTATTCGTAACCCTTTTGGTACTGATGTTGGAAAGTGGTCCCTGGTGAAAAAAAGGTTGGGAACCACTGCCATACAGACATAGCCTGAAAATAATTTATATAAAATACTGGTGATGTATTTATTTGATTAATATTTATATTAATAACTGTAAGAATGAAATAAAGTTTGTCAGAAAGTAAAGGTATCACTACCTCAGCCACCCACACTGACAACTTTGGATTTTAAGTATTTCAAGATCACAGATGCTCGACCTGTGCTCTGCACTTTGTAAGATTTTCCCAACTTCTTAATGAAATCAAGTCATGTTTCAAAAGCCCACATGTTAATATTTGATTCCATAAACTCAACTGAAATTGAGTTCTGGCTGAATAGCAAGGCTAAAATGCTTTTATTGTTAATTCTTTTTCAGATGGACAGATTAATTTTCAGCATTCACTCTGAGAGATAGCATATTCCAGATATCTCATCACTGACTGTAAATTGATCTGGCCACAAGATGAAGAAATACAATGGCTAACCAGGATGAAAAATCTTTGAATTTTTATGGTGATGGACAAAGATGACTCATTTAACCATTTTTCTCCCTGCTTTGAGAAAGTCCTTGATAATTGCAGCTTTCAAGGACAATAAAATACACATTTTCCCCAAAGGAAACACATTAGGCTTGTGTGTCTGATGCAGAAATACCCTTGGCTTCGATTTAGTTTGGATGTTTAGGATTTTTGAAGCAAGTTCCAACGTGCCTGCTTGTTGCCCTTTCAATATCAGGAATTTGAATCAAAAGGAGCCTTTGATTCTTAAGCCTCGCATGTTTGGATATAGATGTGAGGGAGCTAAAATTCACAGTGCAAGCAAGCTCTGCTGAGAAGCGAACCCAAACAAGTTGGCATGCCTCTCCAGCCAATCAGGGCTGACAGAGGAGGGAGGGGAGGCAGAGGCAAAGATTGCTAAAAAAATGTTTTTTAAAACTTTGAAAATTCCCAAAAATTTAGTGGGTGAGTGAAATAATATGAAACCTGATAGGCAAAGAGTAGAAAATGTGTTCTACCATTGTAGCAAATTTCACCCCAATAGCTTTAAAAATGAGGGAGAAAGGAGCCCCATTTATAGTAGTTTATTTAAGCCATATGCCTGCGCTAAACTACATTTCCCATAATGCATTGGGCAGCAATGTTCCATCTCCCAGGAGCCTGATTTGCCATACTTTACAGTTGCTTTACCAATTGACTGTTTGTAACTTTGATGAACCTTGCCAAGTCTGCAAGGACTTTGTGTAAATAAATATCCTTTTTTGATGTTTAAAACCAGTAATAGCCTCAGTTGCTGAGTATCTCAAGCTTCTCAAGAAAGACACCCGCAGTTCGCTCAGACATAGAGGGAAGCACGTCGCAGTTTTATTATTTATAGTGTCTGGGTGGATGGCACAAGCAAGCTATGGCATTTAATCAGTCTATAATAAATAAAGTCATGGAATCTGCGAAGAGGGCTAAAGTAAGTATTATAGTATATTTGGTTGTATATTAATTGGAAGCATATTAATTGGGCATCTGGAGAAAATGGATTGTGCCTTTCTGCCAAGTAGAAAGGCCCTCCAGGTGTTTTGGACTTCAACTCCCATCATTCCTAACAGCCGGTAGCACAAACACAATACTGTGAAGATTTATGTCTATCCAGTAGGGCTGGGCGGTTTCGTTCGTTAATTTCGTAATTCGTTATTAATTCGTATTTAAATTAGCTTACGATCCGATATTGACCATGCAGGAATAGTGTGAGGAGTAAATTAGATTCGAAACAATTTTTAAAATTTATTTCGTAATTGTTTTGTTATTATTTCGAAATTGTTTCGTAATTATTTCGTAATTATTTTCGCATGTCTGGTGCAAGTTTTATAGTTGTTGTTTGTTTTATCACACCAACAGTCAACAACAGAGGGAGAGGAAAGCTTCAGAAGTTCCCCCTGTCCCATTTGGAGGTTTTTTTTTTTTTAGCATATTGCGCAACTGCGTCCGCCATTAACGAATTGATTCTAAATTAACAAAATTTTGTAAATAACGAAAATTTGAAATCTCAAAATTTTGGAAGTATTTAGAATTTGGAAACGCTAGCGCCCCCTGGAAACGAATCGAGTTTAGAAACAAATTTTTCCGTGGTTACCCAGCCCTACTATCCAGGATTTTCCTTGTTAGAGATTTCCAGCACTTTGTATAGGACATTTTCATCTAGTTTTCAAATATCTATCCATATTCTTTCCAATGTCTAATACCTACTGCCATGTTACAAAATGCTACAAGTCATAGGAAATAAAAGAATACCCAACCATCACACTCCTTTGAATACTTACGGACTTCAGATGCAATCACTGAAATATTATGCCAGGCCTTTTCTTCCCTATCCAGGTTTTTTGTGGTTGTAATTGAACCATCTTCTGGGCTGATGCTGAAGTATCTGTCAAGGTCTGTGTGACGATCAATTGTATATCTAGAAGCGGGTGCAAAGTAAGTGATTAGAGGAAAAATATTCAGTGCCCTCAGTTCATGTCATTCAAACTGTTTAAAATTGCAACCTTCTACAAGTCTCCTATACTAGTTATTTGCTATGTATGCAATTCAGATTTTGTAGTATATTGTATATGTGTGAATGGTATGCAGTTTTTCCTTAACTCTTTGTTGTTTGAGGTTGTGAGGCAGACTACAGAGCATGTGATCAAATCTGGGACTATTCAGACTGAGATTCCATTTTAGAAGTCAGTATTGTAGCCGGGAGAGGTTCTGCACAATTAAAACTTGTGCATCAGATGCACCCATTCCTTGAGAAGTCTGACTTGGCTATGGTGGTCCATGCTCTTGTTGCATCCCGAATAGACTACTGCAACGCACTTTAAGTGGGGCTGCCTTTGAAGACTTCCAACCGTCGGCAGCCAGGTTGCTCACCAGGAGCGGTGTACAGGGAGCATACAACCCCTCTGTTACGCCAGCTCCACTGGCTGTCAATCAGCTTCTGAGCACAATTCAAAGTTCTGGTTTTAACCTTTAAAGCCCTAAACAGTTCTGGCCAGACTACCTGTCCAAACGTATCTCCTGTAACAACCAAGTTTAAGATCTTCAGGAGAGGCTCTGCTCTCGATCCCACCACTATCACAAACACGGTTGATGGGGATGAGAGACAGGGCCTTCTCAGCAGTGGCCTCCCACCTATGGAATGCCCTCCCTAGAGATATCAGATTGGCCACCTCCCTCTTGTCTTTTAGAAGGAAAATCAAGACCTGGTTATGGGACCAAGCGTTTGATCAGTGAGCAGCAAGTGGAAGAAGATCACACAACTTATGGCAATGAATTGACCCGGACTGGTTTTTGGATTTCAATTTTAATGGATGTGTCTTAATTAATTGTTTTAATTGTTGTTTTAATTTTTAATATTTTGATTGTACTGTGGTTGTTTTTATGATGCTAGCATCATATGATGCTTTTGTTAGACCACCCTGAGTCCCCCTTCGGGAGGAGAAGGGCAGGGTATAAATATAGAAAATAAATAAATAAATAAATAAAATATTGTTTTGTGTTCAGAATTGAATAGTCAGTTCAAAAACAAGAAATGTGATTAGATCAATAGGTACTGCTTTGGCGGAAAAAGGCAAAAAGGCGCTCCATGCAGTCATGCTGGCTACACGACCAGGAGGTGTCTACAGAAAATGCAGGGTCCTCAGCTTGGAAATGGAGATTAGCACCTCCCCCCGAGCTAGAAATGAGCACTTTTCCAGTGCTGGAAATGAAAGGAGAAGACTTTGCCTTTGTCTGTCTTATTTGTGTCTCATTGTATTTCATTGTAAGAAGGCATTTTTATGTAGTTTGTATTGTTGTATTGTGTGTATTGTGGATATTGGCTTTTGTAACTGTCTTTTTACGTGTACTGTACACCGCCATGAGTCGCCCGTAAGGGCTGAGAATGGCGGTTAATAAGTGCATCTAATAAATAAATAAATAAATAAGGCATTGACCTGATTTACTACATAGAGCCAATCAGACTACGAGTCTATAACCTCATCTACACTGACCATTTAATACAGTTAGAAGCTAATTTCTAACTATAGAGCTACACAACAAACTCCCAATTTGCTTAATTTTATCTCTTAAGCCATCATTCCTACTGCATACCTTACTGGGCTGTTTTTTGCATCAGGGTCTTTGGCATGTACCCTCCCAACTGAAGCACCAGGACCTGCATTCTCTTCCACTTCTAGAATATAAGACGGTGCAAAAAATATTGGTGGCTCATCAGCATCTTCCACATTGATTTTCACTGTAACAGTATCCTTGAATGGTCCATTGCTGATAAATTTTGGGTCAATGTGTATATTGGCTGCTTCTACCTTCAGACTGTAGATCCTTTTAGTTTCATAATCAACATGCTGAAAGAAACAGGAATATAGTTTATGAGAATCCATGGTTATGATGCTTTTCTAGATAACACACTTGGATTTTGTTTTTAATTTCATATTTTGAATACTTGAGCTTAGAGCTTAGAGCAATGAAAAAATTTTAACACACCAGATTTTCAAGTTCAAAACTTTCAACAGGACCAGTGATAACGGATTGTGAAAGTTGTAATCCAAAATATCTAGATGACACCTCTTGCTTAAAGCAATGGATTAGTGATTCTCGACCTGTGGGTCCCCTGTTGTTTTGGCCTTCCAGAAATCCTAACAGCTGGTAAACTGTTTGGGACTTCTGGGAGTTGTAGGCCAAAACACCTGGGGACCCACAGGTTGAGGACCACTGCAATGGATGAACAAATCTGTTTTACATGTACTATCTGTATGACAGTCCTTTACTAACATTAAGTGTAAAAGTAATGCTCTAGAAAGGTACTGACACTACTGGTGTCCTAAAAACAACAAAATCAATGTCAGCAAAATATCTAACTCAGGGGTCCACAAACTTTTTAAACAGAGGGCCAGTTCACAGTCCCTCAAACTGTTGGAGGGCCGGATTATAATTTGAAAAAAAACCATGAATGAATTCCTAGGCATACTGCACATATCTTATTTGTCGTGCAAAAACCACGTAAAAACAATACAATAATTAAAATGAATAACAATTTTAAGAAATACAATTTAACTGATTTACGGGGCCATAAAAATCTCCAGGAAATATGCAAAGAATGAGGAAGTACTTCATCAAAGTCACAAACAGATAATGTTGGATAATAAGGAGGGATTAAACGTCAAATTACAATATGATTTTACAAATTAAGCACCAAAACATCATGTTTTACAACAAATCAACAGAAAAAGCAGTTCAGTACATGGTAACATTATGTGGTAATTAATTACTGTATTTACGAATTTAGCACCAAAATATCGCAATGTATTAAAACAGCTGTGGATCCGGGCAGGAGGCAGACTGGGTCGGGTAATACAGAACATTGGATGAGCAAGGGTTGGATCAATAAGACTCTACTGTAGATCTTCTAGGACACATGTGTCAAAATCAAGGCTTGTAGGCTGAATCTGGCGCACCATGTCATTTTATGGGGTGCCACTGATTTATTTATCGTGTCATCCGCAACCAGAACATTGTATTACATTTCTAACAGAACAAAACAAACAAACAGATAAAAAAAACAACACAAATTTTGCAAACTTGGTAGCTGAGGTGCCACTGATGCTGGACTACCACTCCTGTGTTCCTCATCATTAGATATCATGACTAGAGCTGATGGGGGTTCTCGACATTTGGAAGGCTGCATTTTGGTTTTTTTAGCCAGGATAGAAAGGTTTGAATCTGATATAATACTTGTGGATATGATGTCTGATATTAAAACATTTTTTAATCTTTCCCCAACCTCAAAGCCACATGTGCTGTTGGGTTGCAGTTCTCATTATCCCCAGTCCGCATGATGGATAATCTAAAGAGATGGGAGTTGTCATTCAATAACATCTGGGTACCCAAATTGGGTAAAAACAAAAGAATACTGACCACTATATATAAAAAATAGTTGTCCCTCTATAACCACGGATTCTCCATCCATTGATTCAATAGTTCTTTGAAGCTAGCCATAAGGCTGATGTAGCCTATGATGAAAATGAGTTGGACATCCCAATCTAAGGTGAATGTGAAGAAAAGGATTTCCTCTCTAGCCATGCTGCAGCACTGAAATACCACTTTTAAATGGCTTATGAGAGCCTCAAAAGTGTACACTCCAAGTTTTTTTTTGTCATGTCAGGAGCAACTTGAGAAACTGCAAGTCACTTCTGGTGTGAGAGAATTGGCCGTCTGCAAGGACATTGCCCAGGGGACGCCCGGATGATTTGAAGTTTTATCATCCTTGTGGGAGGCCTCTCTCATGTCCCCGCATGAGGAGCTGGAGCTGATAGAGGGAGCTCATCTGCCTCTCCCCGGATTCGAACCTGCGACCTGTCGGTCTTCAGTCCTGCCGGCATAGGGGTTTAGCCCACTGCGCCACTGGGGGCTCCTTACACTCCAAGCAAAATACAGAGAGAACGATCAGATTATATTGTTGGTTGAAGATTTGGTACTAAAAGGAATATCTTACTGCTTTCATCTGGTATTTTGCATTGGATAGTTGGTATGATTTCAAGTGACATCAGCTATATAATGAAAGACAACTTCTTTATGAATTGCAAAACAGAAACCCAATAAGTAGCTTAGTAAGGAAGGCTGAATTCCCTGACAAGAGTATAATGCAGTTCAGCCTAGGTTTGCTTTCTCTCCCTGTTTTCCCCTCTTTCCTTTCTCTCAACATAAAATGCATTTGGAAGTAATATTGACAGCCGAAATTACATTTTCATCTGAAACACAGGAACAAAAAAGAAATCCCTTGTAATTTTCACATTATCGAAAAATTCACAGAGAACTGCCAACTTGAATACTTGATTATATGCAAAGCAATCCCCTCATTTATTTCCAAGTTAATACACAATATACTTTGAAAAGTGAGCAGTGTTGATTTCTCAAGTGGAAGATCAGTAAAAGAATAATCTACTTTCTTCACTTTAAGAAGATGTTAAGAAGCTTCTATGCATCAATAGTTTCTTTTCATAATCTCTTTCTTTGTATTCTGGCTCTAGGCATTAGCAGATAACAGTAAAATGGGATGGTGGAAGTTAATCATAGCTTCATAAACAAATTATCCAAAACTGCATTTGCTGTGATTTTTTTATGATGAGTGATAATCTATGCCTATTATATTTTCTGCAAGGCATGGAAAGAAAATGAAGTATATTATCCATTAACTGGAATGAAAGGATCACATTACTTACCTTCTTAAGCTTCACAACCCCTTCTTGAGTCTCGTAATCTGTTGTAATTTCAAACATCTCAACACCGTCTCCATCAATAATATTGTACGTTACTAAGCCATTTTCTCCAATATCGGGATCTTTGGCCTTTACCCTTCCAGCTTCCTCTCCTGGGATGGATGCTTCTGATATTGACATCTGGTAAACACCTAGGGAAAAAGTTATTTTATTTATTTCATATCAAAAGCATTGCATAAATTAGTATAAAACTGATAAAAATAGAAGGAGCGAAGGCGGCTAAATATCTTTTGACCAAAAGTGGGCAACAGCAATGGCATTGTCTGTAGCCTCCAAGAATTCTTCCTCTGTGCATGAGGCAGGGCATAATGGACAAGCATACAGATGTGGAGTTGTCTGTTCTACTCCACAGTCACACAAGGTGTGGGATTCTTTTGATCTGCCCACTCCATTTCCGAGTCTGTTCAGGGACTTCCAAGTTGCCCATTCTTGGTTTGCCCCTGGAGGAAGACCCTCGCGGGGGGCCATCCAGTTAAGATTTCCTGGTTTAGCTGCCCAGAGGTATACAAAGTGCTGGTGTTAACCTATAAAGCCCTAAAAGACTCCGGCCCTGTTTACCTCTCCGAACATATTCTCCCCTATGAACCATCAAGATTATTAAGATCTTGATGGCTCACCTCTGAGGATGCTTGCCATAGATGCAGGCGAAACGTCAGGAGAAATGCCTCTAGAACATGGCCATATAGCCCGAAAAAACCCACAAGAACTGAGTGGATTATTAAGATCGTCTGGAGAGGCCCTGCTCTCGGTCCCACCGGCCTCGCAAGCGCGTCTGGTGGGGACGAGGGACAGGGCCTTCTCGGTGGTGGCCCCTCGACTCTGGAACTCTCTCCCACTGGAGATCAGAACCGCCCCGTCTATCCTGACATTTAGGAAACAGGTGAAGACTTGGTTATGGAGACAGGCATTCGACGAGTGAGCCAACACCCTGAGATATGGATGGAGGATGATGAGCAACAATTTTAGTGTGACGACTGACCATTATAGTTATTGATTGTAATTGCTGTTTTAATGTTTTACTGTAATATGTATTATGATGTTATATTGATTGTATGTGATATTATGGTTGGAAACCGGTCTGAGTCCCTCAAGAGAGGTGAGAAGGTCGGTATACAAAACTTTTAAATAAATAAATAAATACCCTTGCTGTTGCTGGAGGGACACCAAGAGGAGTGGTAGTTCTCATATAGCTTTCCCTTGATTTGAGTCTACTGGGAGGAGACTGGTAGCCATGGGCAGACCTATGCCAAACAGGGCAGGCATACTTGGCAGTAGAGTAAGACAAGGCTAGGGCTGATGTTCTTACTAATTTTGGGTCTGCACCCCATGTGCTGCCAGTAAGTTTCTGCAGGATGTTATTGTGTGCAGCTACTTTGTGTTCGAGCAGTGTTTCCTATATGCTAGTGTTTGATCTAAGGCAACACCGAGATATTTAGGATGGAAACAATGTTCAAGCTCTTGACCTTCCCAGGTGACTTTCGATTTTCTGTTGGCTTCAAGGTTGCGTAGGTCTTGCCAGGGTTAGGCTTCAGGTGGAGAGATCTTTCAAGGCATTGGTAAGTTGGATTTCAACTGTTTCAAAGTCAAAGTTTCAAAGGGAAAAGGTGCAGATTTGTAAACAAACCATGATTACATTCTTTTTAGAGTAGCACAAGGGTTAGAACTCTGGCACTTTGTTGAACAGAGAGTTACTGCCTAAGCCTGACCCAAAAGACTTTGCTGCCAGAAGCTAAGGCCCAGGTAAGTCTTATTAACATACAAACAATCTACAAACCCACCAAGAAAATCCAACAAATGCTACGTTCAGCAAAGGACAAGAGGGATCCTCTCACCTCTGCAGGAGTCTACCGTATACCATGCAGCTGTGGACAAGTCTACATAGGGACCACCAAACGCAGCATTGCCCAAACACGAATCAAGGAACATGAAAGGCACTGCAGACTACTTCAACCAGAGAAGTCAGCCATAGCAGAGCACCTGGTGAACCAGCCTGGACACAGCATATTATTTGAGAACACAGAAATGCTGGACCACTCTCACAACCACCATGTCAGACTACACAGAGAAGCCATTGAAATCCACAAGCATGTGGACAATTTCAACAGAAGGAAGAGACCATGAAAATGAACAAAATCTGGCTACCAGTATTAAAAAACTCTCAAATTACAACAGCAAAACAGCAGAGAGGAAACAACCAGGCACATCTTAACACCTCTCAACAAAAAAATTTCCCAGGCTCAGCCAGGCCTTCAAATGCTAATGAAGGTGGTCAGTTGAAACATTCACACCTAGCTCCAGCAGAGAAGAGCTCTTGCCCCACCCCAGCCATTCCACAGATATATAAACCCATTGTCCTAATTCCAACAGACCTCACTACCTCTAAGGATGCTTGCCATAGATGCAGGCGAAACGTCAGGAGAAATGCCTCTAGAACATGGCCCTATAGCCCGAAAAAACCCACAAGAACCTAAGTCTTATTTCTTGTACAAAAAACACCAAACTTAGAGATGCTGAATGTTCAACCAGAGGGCAGTGTCTCTTCCCTGAGAAGAAGGACTCAGCTTAAGAGGGCACAACAACATCCCTGAATCACAGAAAATGCACTTTGCTGGCTCAATAAGTTTAGAAAGTTAGCCTCTTCCTTATTTCAATCCTAACTGCACTTCGGAGAAGTTCAGACATGTCACAGCAAAAGGTGGAATCAGAGTGTTCAACCAAAATTGAAGTGTAGACAAGATGGAAAAGTTACAAATGAGGAAGAACACTGGAGAGGTTTGCTTTTGTTTGAGTCTACTGGGCAAGGGAAGATTTCACAGACGTACCTCAATTGGTTTACTTAAATTACAGTACTTTGTACTTTGAACTCAGTTTGCTGAAGTGGAACAGAAACACTGGAAGGAGGAGAGAAAACAGATATTTGAAAAGAATCTGAAAAAAGTGGGATGACAAAAGGGACTACAGTTACCTAACAATTGGGAGGATATGGTATAAAGCACGTTAATAAAACAAGTCAACAAGAAGAACAAAAATCCCTATGCACAGTGTAATGAACCAAAAATGAAGCTAAGCCTTAAAGGCTTGAGAGAGGAGCACAAAAATGAAAGAAATATTAAAACCAGTTGGGCCTCCAAGAAGAGGACATTTCACATCTAAGGCCCTACATCAAAATGACGCTCTTGGGACATCATTGACTGTGGTGCACTTGTTTGTTTCTTTATATTGTGATGAGCAACCCAAAGATTAGGGATTGCATGAGCCTTAGAATCAAAGAATCATAGAATCAAAGAGTTGGAAGAGACCTCATGGGCCATCCAGTCCAACCCCATTCTGCCAAGAAGCAGGAACATTGCATTCAAATCACCCCTGACAGATGGCCATCCAGCCTCTGTTTCAAAGCTTCCAAAGAAGGAGCCTCCACCACACTCCGGGGCAGAGAGTTCCACTGCTGAACAGCTCTCACAGTCAGGAAGTTCTTCCTCATGTTCAGATGGAATCTCCTCTCTTGTAGTTTGAAGCCATTGTTCCGCGTCCTAGTCTCCAGGGAAGCAGAAAACAAGCTTGCTCCCTCCTCCCTGTGGCTTCCTCTCACATATTTATACATGGCTATCATATCTCCTCTCAGCCTTCTCTTCTTCAGGCTAAACATGCCCAGTTCCCTAAGCCGCTCCTCGTAGGGCTTGTTCTCCAGACCCTTGATCATTTTAGTCGCCCTCCTCTGGACACATTCCAGCTTGTCAATATCTCTCTTGAATTGTGGTGCCCAGAATTGGACACAATATTCCAGGTGTGGTCTAACCAAAGCAGAATAGAGGGGTAGCATTACTTCCCTAGATCTAGACACTATGCTCCTATTGATGCAGGCCAAAATCCCATTGGCTTTTTTTGCGCCACATCACATTGTTGGCTCATGTTTAACTTGTGGTCCATTAGGACTCCAAGATCTTTTTCACACGTACTGCACTCGAGCCAGGCACCCCCCCATTCTATATCTTTGCATTTCCTTTTTCCTGCCAAAGTGGAGCCTTGGAGGGATATAAACCCATCTCTCTCTCTCTCTCTCTCTCTCTCTCTCTCTCTCTCTCTTTCTCTCTCTCTCTCATTCTCTCTCTTCCCCCCCCCCCACCCCAATATCTCCTGAAAATCATAATAAACGTCCTCAAATGCCTCCAAAGACACTCTATGGCAGAGAGTTCAGCAGCCCTATGGATATTTTAGACTTGGCAGAGTACTTATTTTGAAAATAGAGAATGAGAAGAAACCATTTCCTCCCCACCACCCATATACCTAAATTGACTCAGGGTGGTGGTAGCAAAAATGCCCTGTGCAGGATTCAAGGGTACTTCAAAATTTTAAATGTTAAATATTTGCGTGCTGCCCTACATTGTGGGATTTCAGGGAAGCATGTAAGCAACATCAATTTAAAGTTATGTCTAAATTTAGCATGAATTTAATTTAGCCTAAAAGACATGGTCAAAACTAGTCCAAAATCTCAGACTTGCCTCAAATGAAAGGCTGGATGTCTTCAAATGGAAGGCTGGATGTACGGTCAGCTGCAACTCGAGAAGCCTGACTTGGCCATGGTGGTCCACACCTTAGATACATCCAGAATGGACTACTGTAATGCACTCTATGTGGGACTGCCTTTAAAGACAGCTTGGAAACTGCAAGTAGTATAAAAGGTCAGCTGCCAGATTACTAACTGGGGCTAGCTATAGGGAGCATACAATGCCCCTATTGAAGCAGCTCCACTGGCTGCTGACAAGTTTCCGGGCTCAATTCAAAGTGCAGGTTTAAAGCCCTATACGCTTTGGGTGCAAGCTATCTTCAAGACTGCATTTCCTTCTATGAACTGGTGTGGGCCTTGAGATCTGCTGGGGAGGCCCTTCTCTCAGTCCCACCAATGTCACAGGTGTGGTTGGTGGGGATAAGAGAGAAGGCCTTCTTGGTGGTGACTGCGCAGCTTTAGAAAGCCGTCCCTAGAGAGATTAGATTAGCCTCAAATCTCCAAACCTCCAAGCCTAAAAACATGGATATTTACACAGGTCTTTAACCTGGAACAATGTACTATGGTCAAGCTTGTGTTTGAAGAAACCCAATGACCCACAGGAATTACTTAGTTTTAGATTTTTTT